CAGCAGTATGAGGTTCTGCATCTGGTCAAACCCACTGAATCCAGCACGGAAGGGTGCTCCTCTTTGTGGATTACGGTTGTTAGCAATTCATGGCAACGCTGCACAACATCTTGTGTCAAGGTGAGAATATCCTACCCAACTAAAACCACAGGGCATGCTTACAAAGAAAGATTCATCTCTTTCCTAGAATTTGCCCAGTAACCCATCGCTGATGTCTTCATGAATCCTCTGCAAAAGATCACACCTTGAATACAAAATGTGTGTGTAAGGGTATATATTTCTATAAAAAAGATCAAAGGATGGCATCATGTGCAGTAGTAGGCATCCTCATGCCAAGACATGCTGAATACAGTTTCACATAAAAAAAGAAAGTGACTGCTTGGTCACCAGCACAACGATTGCAGTCATTAATGCCTTTTCCCCAGCTGTCTGTCAGGTTAACTTGCAAAATTGTCTGGCTCACAGTGTCAAACATGCTCCTCTTTTTTCCTTTTAGAGACTTCTCCAGGAGTTGCTGAGGTGACATTTGTGGAAAAGGAGCCAGCTGAACGCCACACAATCACTTCATGGGAGCAGGTGAGTATATTCATGATAATATTGCAGTGCAGTCAGTCAGAACGTGCAGCAGCCCATAGAGATGTCAAATGCAATGGCTACCTTGTGTTTGTTTGTGAGACAGCCTGCTGCCAGGTTTGATGCACCGTGGAGCCTAAACAGATTTATTTTTTTTTTAAATCAAGTATTACTCCATGTTTTAGGCTATCACATGCACCTGATCTGTTAGACAAACTTCATGAGTGTGGATATATTCAGAATGACTACTCTAAGAAGAAATCGTGTAACTGCAGTAGGCCGCAGCAGTGGTGACTCAACAGAGAACATTGTTCTGACTTAGGTCTGAAACCATTTTCCAGCTCTCTTTGAGACAAAATGAAGAAGCTCTTTATTATATATGGCCATTAAAGGTAAAGGCCTCAAGCTGGAAAATACCACTGAGCAACCCAGTTCATTCCAGTTATCTGTTTCTCTTTTCAGTCTCAGCTATTCACTTCCATTTCTCATAGCCCCTCCTTCCACCTGCTCTTTGGCTAACTGACCCCATCTTTTGGCCAAGGCATGTTCCATTGCCTCTTCTAGAAGACTATGAAGGACACATGCTACTTTGACTCCACGTTAGCTGACCTACATGACCAGAGGGCTCCCAAATACTGTTGTGTGACTTTGCTGGGCAGAGATGGCATTTTTGGGCCTGTTTTTTAATATATATGTGTTTATCAGTCCCATGACCATGGGGAAATAACTGCTTTCTAGACGTCACTCATATCTAGGGAAGGGACAGTAGAAACTGACTGGCCTTTGGCAAGGGGCATGGCAGAGGATGGAGTTGAGTGAATCTCTGCTCCAACCCTAGCTATGCCCTAATGCACATGCTCCCAGAGACTTTGCTTGTTACCACTAGATAAAATAACTTCCCCTTTGATGACACCTTGCCATTTACAGTTTTTCCTAAGCAGTGCGAAAAAATTTGCAGGAGTTGTAGTAACGCCCTATTACTGATCTTTATCAAGAATTTATAAATCCAGGTCACAATGTATGTGCTGTAAACCTGTGTTATTTACTGAAACTTGTACAGTAGCCAGCAACTCCGGTCAGGCAGAAATGTCTGGTTTTTCAGGTTCATGTGACCTGTTTCCTGATGTCCTGTAGCTATTGTTCAGGTGTCAGATTAACTGGACTGGAAAGTCTGAGGCACCCTGACTGTGAACCAGCTCAGCTCTGGGACAGCAGAGTGACATTCGTTCACTCTTCTGTTCAGTGGAGAGAACTGCTTCTCCTGAACACAGTATTGCTCTCATTTTCACATTCTGCTTGTCCTCTGAACTAAATTGGATGTTTCAAAATTTGAAATGCTGTAACCAAAAGCACTTTGGTCCAAAGATGTCAAAACAAAACTACAGTTTTCCCACCCCCCTCCACCCAGTAATAGACTGTGTTAATTGTGGAAGTAAATGGTGAAAATTAAGTAGATACAGTTGAGCTGAACTGCTAATGGTGAAGGACTTTGCTATCTCTCTCTTTGCTTTTGGTCCCAATTGTATTGACAAAACCTGAAATCTGCCTTCTTGAATTAAAAGATAACTATTTTCTTTTTCCTTGAGCTTTGGGAGTGAAGTCTGATATCTAACACAGTCCGCGCAACTCCAGTATGTCCTGCAGTGATGATTAAGTGCAAAGCACTCAGCACCTCACAAGGCCCTTCCAGGGTGAACTTGCACGTCACTTTTCCTCAAAGTCATCCTACTTGAAATTGAATGAAGTTTATGTGTACCGTGTTTTTATGACTCTTTGGTTTGGGTTTTTTTGTAGCCACTAGATGGCAATACTTATGCATGTAATCATTTCTCCATAGTTCAGATTTTTAACAAGATCTCGTCACAGTCTATATTTTTAAGTCCCCTCTACATCTTTGGTTATGAAACTATTTGCAGGGATTTTTGTGTGTTTTTTTTTGAAGGGAAAATTGGTCAAACTATTCCCAAAATTACATTGTTTTTCTCAAAAAAACTCTCTTTTCATCGAGACTCATCAAATAAAAGCTCTATTCTTAAAAAATTAATTTTTTTTACATTTTTTTCCTAGAAGCAATTTTTCCAGTCCCATTTCAGTTTGGTAGTGAAAAGGTATTTCTTCTGAGAGAAAATCTATGCTATTCAGAAATTCTTAAAAGAAAATCAACATTTTTTTAAATTATGAATTATTAAAATTATATTCTCATAATGGTAGCAACATGAAATTTTTTTAGTCCATCAGCTGTTTGTTAAATTGGGCTGTGCCCAATGTGCTAGTAATTAACTGGATACTTCAATGGAAATTTTAAAATCTTAGATCAGCTTATTGAATGTCCGTTAGCTGCCATGAGGCTTTGCAGGGGAAGGTATGCTTCATGACATTAAGACGGTAGGAGAGCAGAAGATACTTTTTCCAAGGCTTTCTGTAGAGGCAGAAAGAGCTGTTAAGTCTTACATTTCAGGAAATCAAACCTGAAATCAATCCTGAATATTTTACTGGAAATCAGCACACTTACAAGAATATTTTGGGTATATGATTGTCAAGTGTCAATACTAACTAGGTAGCATTGCTTCCCCAAAACTTTAAAGCTGTTGAAAATATTTCAATAAAAACAGGTAATTTTTTCACCTTTCCTGATATTTAGATCTGCCAGGATGTTATCTTTTCCCCAAGAAAGTGAGACAAGCAATAGAAGGGAGAGTAGAGACAGAGTTACCAGGTCACTGGAACACCAGTGCTATTAACTATATATTGTCCTGTGAACCTGTTGTCACTCCTAAAATTAGGCTGGTGACTGCCCTGCTCCCCTTCACGTGCAGTTTTTAAAAGTAGGTGTTATACTAAAATATTGCTAGGAGGCACTCTGGGATCTGCAGTGTCAGACAATGTCTGAACCACATTTTCTTTTTGCCCTAACCAGAAGAGAAACAAGTCACTCATATAGTTGTTTTGGCTTTCAAAAAATAGAAAATTGCATTCTGTTAGGAGGAGCTGGAGGTCTCAGAGCTCAGCACCTCAGCAGGCCAAGCAAAATGAAGGGGGTCATTTTGCTTGTTCCTCTAATTGGCTTGTTAGCAGCATCTGAACTGCTCCTAGTTGGCTGTAAGCAATACCTGACCATCTTGTTGCTGGAGCATCGATATTCTACAACTCTGCATGGGAAATTTGTTGTTTCTCCTTATGCACTTTGTCTACAAAGATTTATTTTCCTGTAATAAAACCATTAAAAAGCCCTGAAGCAGTCTGGTGCTTTCCTGTTGTGGACTGTATTAGGCTGCCAGACAATTTAGAAACTTCTCTCACCATGTAAATCTCGGTGGGAACTGCAGTGGTGGTTTCTGGCTAGAAGTCTTCCTTGTTGCTTCTATGCTATCTCTTTCTGACTAAAAAACATGCATACAGGCATGTGCATCCACAAGGGTCCTTCTTTCCATCCTCCTTGTAATGTCCTCCCTCAGCATTGGGCAAACCTGCCACCCCTGATGGCACAGGGATCTGCCCATGTTAAACCTGCTTTGTGGCCCTGACCATGGGAGAGGCTGAGAAGTGGATCCAGCAGAGCCAGTGCATGAGGAAAGGTATATTTCTTTGAGCTGCATAACAGAGGAGAGGCTGGAGGACTTTTGAAAGGTGGATGGTGTTTCTGACACAGCGTTCCACTCCTGTGGGGCCTTATAATATGCTGATTAAAACATTTGCTACACATCACTGTCCTCAAGACAATTGCCAAATCCTGTTCTATGCTGTGCGGGACAGGTCTACCCCAGCGCCGTGCCTTTTGAGCCAGGAAGTCCAAGCAAGGTGGTTTCCTGGGAGCCCACCTCAGATGAGGTTTATAAAAGGTGCAACAAGAATGTCTTCATATCTTATATAAATTAACATCTTTAAACTGGCAACTAGCGCAGACCAGTCATGAAACAGCATGGCATTAGGGGGAGAGAAAGGTGGCTACTGATGTGCTCTGCTATGTGGAAGCCTTGAGAAATGACATAAATCCCTTCCTTCTCTCCCCCAAAGTTGGATAAAACTCATTCAGTTTTTTAGAGAAGTCTCTCTAGAGCGATATGCTTTGGCAGCCAACATGGCTTCACTCAGGGCAAATCATGCCTGACAAACTTGATGGCCTTCTACGATGGGGTTACAGCATTGGTAGATAAGGGAAGAGCAACTGACATCATCTGCCTGGACTTGTGCAAAGCATTTGACACTGTCCCATATGACATCCTTGTCTTTAAATTGAAGAAACATGGATTTGACAGATGGACCGCTCAGTGGATAAGGAATTGGCTGAATGGTCACACTGAAGGGGTTGTGGTCAATGGCTCAATGTCCAAGTGGAGAACAGTGACGAGTGGTGTTCCTCAGGAGTAGGTCCTGGAACTGGCACTGTTTAACATCTTTGTCAGGGACATGGACAGTGGGATGGAGGGCACCCTCAGCAAGTTTGTGGATGTCACCAAGCTGTGTGGTGTGGTCAATACACTGGAGGGAAGGGATGCCATCCAGAGGAACGTTAAGAGGTGGGCCCGTGTGAAACGTACAAAGTTCAACAAGGCCAAGTGCAAGGTCCTGCACGTGGGTCAGCACAATCCCAAACATAACTACAGGCCCGGCAGAGAATGGAATGGAAGCAACCCCAAGGAGAAGGACTTGGGGGTATTGATTGATGAGAAGCTCAACATGACCCAGCAGTGTGCACTTTCAGCCCAGAAAGCCAACCGTATCCTGGGCTGCATCAAAAGAAGCGTGACCAGCAGGTCGAGGGAGGTGATCCTGCCCCTCTACTCTGCTGTCATGAGACCCCACCTGGAGTACTGTGTCCAGCTCTGGGGGCCCCAGTACAAGAAAGACATGGAGCTGTTGGAGCGAGTCCAGAGGAGGGCCATGAAGATGATGAGACGGCTGGAACACCTCTCCTGTGAGGACAGGCTGAGAGAGTTGGAATTGTTCAGCCTGGAGAACAGAAGGCTCTGGGGAGACCTTATAGCAGCCTACCAGTACCTGGAAGGTACTATGGGAAGGCCTACAGGAAAGCTGGAGAGGGACTGTTTATCAGGGAGTGTAGCGATAGGATGAGGCGTAATGGCCTTAGACTGAAGGAGAGTAGATTTAGATTAGATATTAGGAAGAAAATCTTTCCTGTGAGGGTGGTGAGGCACTGGCACAGGTTGCCCAGAGAAGCTGTGGATGCCCCGCCCCTGGAAGTGTTGAAGGCCAGGTTGGATGGGACTTTGGGCAACCTGTTCTAGTGGAGGATGTCCCTGCCCATGGCAGGGGGGTTGGAACTAGATGATCTTTGAGGTTCCTTCCAACCCAAACCATTCTGTGATTCTATTATTGCTGTCCATTTCTTTATCATATTTGCTTGGGAGGCTTCGTTACAACAGTGCTTTAAGTGAATTGCCATATGTCAGTGTTTTAGCTCTGGATCCAGCACTGATCAGATCTTGGCAGCAAGGCTACCCTGGTTCTAATGTTCTTCTCTTTCCTCAATGGACTGTGCTTTCCTGGGAGACTATTTGGGCATATTATGGTCAATAAACAAAAGAAGTAGACCTCACACACCATATTGGGCACTTGGGATATTTTGTTTTATGAGCTGATGAGTGGAACTAGATGACTGGAGTGAAAACAGCTGCTTGCCAAGGCTGTGGTTAAGCCAGTTCTGGCACGTTATTAGGAATATTATATTTTATGGGGCTGGAGATCACAACCCTGGAAACTACCAGTTGAGGAGGAAGAGTACAGAGCTTGAGAAGCCATTTTTAATATGTAGTAGTGGCTAGTTTCTCTGACTCTGAAAAGATCACTGTTTTGAAGTCATAGGATCATGTGGCTAAGCATTATGACAGATCAGTCAATCCTTTCCATCAAATGGGAGAGGTGGATACTAGTGAAGCTTTCTGTATAGAGGCCTTTTCCTACAGATCCCAGATTTGCTCTGCGTTTTCCACCCATGTATTTTGCACCATCATTTCAAAAGTCATGCAAAGGGATATGGTTAGGAGAATCCTAAAATAAAGTGGGGAGGGCAGCCATTTGGAGAAACATGCACATGCTGATCTTTCCATCCAGAAAAGGAGGATTCAGAGCAGAAGGCCTATCCAGATGTGATTTTTTTTTCCTTGTCTTAATCAGCTACATTTCTTAAATTGGGCTGCACATGGATTGTGCTAATATTTAAAATGATACTGGAAGTTTTAAAATCTTAGATTTTGTCATCCCAATGGATCTGGTTCTCCTGCTTAGAGGAGAACACCCACTAAAGTCAAGAGCTGTTCCCATATGTATTTTTACTGCTGGGGTAGATTAGTTAAAATTGGGGGGGTTTGAAATGGGCTGAAAGTGCTGTCTGAACATTTGTACTCTTCTGAGGCTTTGCAGCAGGTCTGTCATATTTTCTTTCTTCATAGTTTTAAACTTAGTCACTGCGCTTGCAGCTACAGCTTAAAATTGGAAGTGGTGAAAGCACAGCATGAAGTTACAAATATTTAGGACTGAGAAGAACCCACAGATGAAGGTGTGTTTGTTAAAGGCATTTGAAGAACTTCAGATATGTTCATGTGGCTTGGGAATCTCCTGATGCTTACCACCAGGGCCTCAGCCATCAGCAGACTCTTATCAAAGGACAATAAATTCTCCTCAAAACAAAGCTTCTACAGTATCAGATTGTCTCCTTTAATACCTGTCGCCTCTGAAAATTTTCCCTACCTGGCTTAGGAAAGCACTGTGCTAGCAACCATGCTGCTGATGGGGCAAGTCAAGTGACCTGCTCTATCACAAGCTGCAAAGCCATTAATATCTGGGACTTGTCAGGACCAGTCTGGCACCATAAATAGATATGCTTAGGAAGTAAGTAAACACGCAGGAGTGAAGGTTGTGGGTGGGTTAGAGGGTCCTTGCACAGCATATATGCCACAGTTTAGGGGACAGGGACTGTAACAACTCAAAGAAAGTGGCTGTGAATAAGCCTTTAACAGGCAGAAGGGCTGCTCTGGTCCTAGGGGAGGGAGACAGTGTGGACACGAGAGGCCAGCACCTTCACTTGCTCATGCCAGACACTGGTGACAGAGGGTGGTGTTGCAGCTGGATGCACAGCTGGCAGGTAGCTCCTGATAGAGGCATTGAGGCAACATCAGGGCAGATAACTGGATATGCACAAGTTGCAGACATGGGGAAGAATCTAATCAGCATCTCTTGAGATGTTACAAATTAATGCCCCAAGTGAAGCAGAGCTACATGAACTGCATGTGCACGTTTCTTTTCCTTAGCTACTGGTTACCAGAATACTCTACCTTTATTTTGTGAGACTTTGAATGTTACATTTTCTGGGAGCTGTGGGAAAGTAGTCCCAGCAGAGACACAGTATTGGAAAGCTATTAACATCTGACTGCTCTGCTTTCTCCAAATTAATTCTGTAACTGCTCCAAAACCCACCCAGGCCTCTGAGGCCAGGCTGTGAATACCTGCCTGAATAACACCTTGATCTGTGACAGGGTAAGCCTATATGAGGGACAGCACTACTGACCTCTAAATGTTCTTGACATTTGTAATTCTATCTTTTCTGGTTTTGAATGTCAAACTCACTGCACAAGGAGCAGGCCATGTCCAACAGCATGTCTTTGGCTGAATGAAAGAAATACATCTTTTTTAGAAAAGGCTGAAAATCCTGTCACAAAAGTACTTGAATTATTAGACATGCTAGGCTGCAAATCTCACATTATTTATCCATTTTCCCTGTAAAATGTAGCTCCCGAAGTCCTGTGATTATAAACAGGTTTCAGACCAACATTTTAAAGAAGAAGTTGTCTATCCTCCTGGTTTAATGACAAAGCTTGACCCTCAAGGGGCTTATTTGTGTCTTTGTTCCTGAGCAAATTTAAAATCACATGGGACTGAAAAGGGAGAATGACCACAAGTTACACCTTGGAGGTTCAGACTGCACTTAGGTAAACTTTTCCATAAGGAGTTTGGTGCAGCCCTTCGACAAGTCAACGCAGAGATTCTGGAACCTGTATCATTGGGCACTATCCTGAATTTTGGAGTCTGATTCTTTTGGAGGGTTGAGGTTGATGATACTTTAAATGTGAACTCACTTCAAGCTTTCTCAATCTTTTTTTTTTCTCTAAAACAATTACAAACAAAACAACAGAGAACTCCTTTAGTCATGCATATTGCTTGTCTTCTTAAAACTGACAGGCTTCTCTACTGTTTCGTTGCAGGAACAGGGGATCGATGGTCTGCAGCCAGTCCTGTTACCAGGAGCAGTGCCTGCATTTGCCTATAGCTTCTTGTTGTTCTGAGGATTAAGCCTTTAACCTTCCTTCCTCATATTTGTTGCTTAACTGAAGAGTCTAAGTTAATAAAGACTCCTTCCACAACCAAGATAGGTGTAGGAGGAGGGTCCTGGTTCTTAGAATCACTCTCACCAGCTCACTGGAGTTGCTTCCTTCACTATTGGCTCGAAGGAAGCAGGCCAAGTGCTGAAGTCCAGTGGAATGAAGCCAGACCAACAGGTCTGTGAGACTAGCTCTGTGTCTGTTTGCACACATATTCTTTGTTAAGTGAAATGTCAAACCTCCTTGAATATGTGCAACTACTGAGCCTATGCTTCTCTCACCTAGTTGGAACTGAAAGCCCTCAGAATAAAAGAGTCCTTGTGCAAATACTATTATATGTGCTCTAGTGGAACAGGTAGGTTTAGTTTTATTTCACTTAAACCAAAACTTTACTCTTATAAGCCATGTATATGAAAAAGCTGATTGCTCTTATGTATGTGATCTTGGAGTGGCTGGTAGTGTCACAGGATAATATGTATTCTTAGTTGCGGAACAATCCTGTAATAACCTTGTGATGACTGGCTGCTCATTGTGAAATTTTCCCAAGTCATCTTTGTTAATACAGTAGCACAGACCCAAGAAATATGCAGTTTTCTTTCAAGGTTCCAGGATGATATTTGAGCTGATCTGACTCATCTTGGAGTTGAGCAAAACGTTTGGTGGCAAATGTTTCTGTAGTGATATTCAGCTGCTCTTTGAGTTTGAGGCACATTCTGCATTCCCCCATAACATTTTAAGTGTCTTGTGATTTGCAGAAGAACTCCTGCATATTGCCAGAGGATTTAAAGAACTTCTATCTGATGACCGATGGCTTCCAGATGACCTGGAGTGTGAAGACTGATGGTGAGTCCATGTGTTCCTCTCCACCAATACCCCTTTCCTTTGCAGACTCTCTTTAATTTCAAACTTACTTTCTGCATAGCCAGTACACATCCGTCAGTATCCTACGTTAGTCTGAGCAAAAGCACAAGCACCAAGTAATTTTGAATGAAAAATTCCTTAACTTGAAAATAAAATGAAGTAGTTTGTTTCTGCTAGACGGCTTGATTGGTGACTACAGAAAAAAAATAAGTGAATAAATAAGTGAATACAATTCTACATGGCATCGTAGACTATTTTAGAGACATCCTGGTGAGGAAAAAAAATGTAAGTGCACATTAGAGGTCCCTTCTGATACAACATGGCAAAATCTGTTGCTTGCATGTGCTGGACTTCCACAGAAAAGGCATGTACACAGAACACTGGCTAGAAAACAAACAAGTCTTCATGACATAAATACCATTCTGTAATATGCTGGCCATCTGTTGACACTTAGATTTAGGTATGTAATTTAAATCTAATACCTAGACTCGCTCTGTAGTTCTTGGAGAGAGTAGCAGCTCTAGCACACTATCCTATCATAAAGCCTTAGGAGGAGTCACCCTCTGATAATGCCTCTTTCTCATTAAAACATGTATGTACGTGCCGGAGCCTGATTCTGCTTTCCACCAGCTAAAGTCTGGTCATTGCAGTTATTTCTGGAGTCAGTGTTGGAGGTGAGAGCAGGACTGAGCTTTATTGCCCATCCTTGTTTTACAAGAGTCAGTCTGTTCAGTCAGGGCTCTGGAGCCCTGCAACTGTTACCCTGATTCTTAGTTCCTTCCAGTGAGGTTGTCAAATTGGGCTGTGGACACCGCTCGCCTCAGGAGATCGGTGTCAAATACGGGGTTTTCCTCAGGAAGTGGAATTTCATTTCAGACACAGTTGATGTCAGGACTCTAGCACCTGCACTGAGTCCCATCATGTTTCAAGTGGCAGTTAATGTGACCTCTGAAAGACTCTTGTTTTCAGGGCACACAAGTGCACAGAGACCAAGGCAGCTCACATAACTGTCTTGTTTGAGCAAGCATCCAGTAGTGCCATCACACTGGCACATGGCTGAACGGGGTGCATGTTGACTTGATGTCTGGTAACATTACTAGTCCTCAGAAGGTGAGACATGTGACAAGTCCTCAAGCATTCATTGAGGAACACCCACACACTGATAAAATCCTGTGTTGGAGTGGGAGCCAAGGGGATGCACCCTGAGCATGTACATAGGGTGGAAGAGGACAAGCTGCTCAATAAGCTGTGAATGGGTGGGGTGGTTTCTGGTAGGAAGGACAGCAGCATGGAAAAGAGTTTTGAGGAGGTGGCTGTAGTTAGCCAGGAATTTTAACAGCCAATTTCACAGGACTGACCTAACAGCTGCAGCACAGCCTTAGTCAGCAGTGCAGTTCTCATACCTGCACAGCTCTGAGATGGTGTGGCATCACCTGTAAGTGTGATTCCATGTTTGAAAAAGCCTAATTTTTGCTCCTGTGGAGCCTGACTGGGTTAAGTGTCCAGGCCTGCTAGGTATACCCATCTCTTCTCCCTCTCTATGTTTTAGAAGAGGTTGAGCTGATGTGTGGAGGAAAAAGAAAGACCTCCTGTGCTTTCCTGATACTGGATGTGATTAATGATCGGTGTCATTGCAGATACCCCAATGCCCCTGGGCTCCATGGTGATTAATAGTGTCTCGAAGCTATGTCGACTTGGGGGTTCCCCTATGTACACTCTGCCTAATGCACCAACTCTCGCTGACCTGGAAGATGACACAGATGAGGAAGGTAAGGTCCCGTTAACAGGCTAGAAAATGTGCTGTCTCTCATCCTTTTTGCTCTCTTAGGGAAATGTTAGGATATAGCACATGGATATAGGAACAGAAAAGGCCACTCCCAAGTGGATGGGGTTTTCTTTGTCTCCTGGGCCAGATCTACTATATGTCCTATTCCCTACAGTCTTGAGAGGTAGACCTGTATGCTGTGAATTTCGTGGGGATTGTTAATGCTGCCAATCACTAGTATTATTTAATTACTCTCTTAATAGCATGGCAGTTCTCCTGTTCTGCCTTTTCCCTATTTCAGTTTTTAACTGAGTCTTCCTCCAGTGATTCAGCTTCTAAAGTCTTCGTGTGCTTATGGTGTTACATGAACAAAAGATAACAGTTTTTGTCTTGGTAGTGAAAAGACAGCTGGATATGCTTTTTGGAATTGGAAAAATAACTGTGCTAAATACATGTAAGTGTGAGGTGGCACTAGAAAATGTGTGTTTCCAGACTGCCTAAAAATGCTGAGCGTCCTGCAGTTTGGAGAGAAAAAGACAAAAAAAAAAAGTCCACTCTTTCTCTTACAGTCTAACAAGACTGGAAGAAGATGATAAGAACAGAGTTAGGTGTCATGCTGACTCCTTAAAAAATTGCTATGTGATTTCAGTCTTATCTCTGAATCTCTGTAGCACTTGTAGCTTCTAAATGTGGCTGAAAGTTTCTTTTTGCACATTCCAGCTTGGCTGCAGTCCTGATCTTCTACCCATTGTAATGAAATGGGCCATATTCTGCTTCCATTTAGTCACTCAGACCTCCACTGATGTGCTTATAAGATACACTGAGAAAAAGTTACATCCCCACCAGTGTTCTTATCCTGACTTTCATGGAAAGCTCTTCTGACGAGTACAGCTCTTATGTCTCCTTTCTTCCTCAGCAGCATTAGAATTCAAAAAATTATATTCTGCAAGAACTTGCAGCAACATGATCCCAAAATGGTCCTGTAGAAAGGCTATGTGGTGGTTGTGGGTCAGAAGTCAGATGTGAGTCAGATCGTGTGGCTATTGAGAAGGATGCTGATGTCACACTGGAATGTATGAAGAAAATTATATGTCTCTAAGTTCATCAAAGTTTCTGCCAGAGAAAAAGAATAAAATGTTCTCTTTGTCCTCCTTAGAAAAAAAATAAAGTAGGGCAAAAAAGAGATTGTGGATAGAACAGGAGTAATGGGCTTCAACTGCAGCAAGGAAGATTCAGTATCCGCATAAGGAAAACTTCTAAGTGATGATGATGGATTTGGGTTGATTGCCTGCAGACTGTGGCATCTCCAACACTGGAGGACTTTAAGAAAAGATTAGACAAACACCTCTCAGGAGTGACATCTGTAAAGCTGATTTTAGTTTATGCCAGGGAAGGACTAGAGGGCAGTTTGATGTCTTTTTTCAGCCATCAGATTTTGACTCTGTGGTTTGTTTTCCTACTGGACATTAAAATTTTTCTCACCTTTTTTTTAACACAGGGAATTTAATCCTTTCCAAGAAGTAAAAATAAAATAGTTTGATGTAGTTCTTCCTCAGCTGATTTATTAATGTGTCAAGTAGATTGACTCTTTGCACCTGAGTCACAGTCAGTTTTCCAAACATGTTTCATGAAGATTTTTTTCTGGTTTCAGGTAATGGAGACAAACCAGAGAAGCCACACTTTGATTCTCGTAGTCTTATCTTTGAATTAGACCCATGCAATGGGAATGGGAAAGTTTGTCTTGTTTATAAGCACGCTAAACCAGGTAAGACTGAAAAGAGCAAAGTTAGCCATCTCTTGTTGTGGATTGTGTCTGGAGGCCACATGCATAGAATCATCTTACATTTCTGATCTTCTTTGCAATTTGTAGATGAACATTTACTGGGACATCCTGTCTCTACTGAAGTCAGGGGCTAAACCTTACAGAGACTTAAGTGGAGCTAATGTTTTCCTTCTTTTTAGTGTTTGAATCTGAGTTATAACTTATGATTTCTTCATGCGTAGCATACTTGCATACTGAAACAGGAAAGTATTCACGTATGACCTACAATCATGTTGAAATAATGCAGAAGGCTAGAGCTCAGTCACTAATATTTCTCTGGTTACTTGTATGTCTCGGAACAATTCCCTGACATTTTGATGAGAAAGGGTGTAACGCTGCTTAGAAGCAAAGGGTAGATGGTAAAAAAGGCCCTTAGCTGATTGAGACAGACTTAGACTGGTTCTTCCACCTTGTGCATGGATGCAGAGCCTCTAGGTACTAACTAGGTCAAAACTTGGCAGGAATGGTTGAACAGGAGAGTGAAAGATGTGAGCCGAGCTATTCCTTCTGACAGATACACTGAAAACTGCCATCAGTCAAGGATTAGTGAAGTACCTGAGTCACTTGCATAGTAGTTGTCATCTGACACAGTGCACAGGTCACTAGGTGTAGGTGGATACACGTATGTTTGCTGGGGGTGTGCAACTGTGATATACCTGTTCTTGAGAAAACCCTTCGGTTGTTATCTGGTGTCTTTCATTGGGTGTGACTACAGCTCCCAAGGCAGAAGCTTCTTGCTTGTCCTCTTGCCCATCAGTCTTAGCAATTTCAGCATATGCAGTGAATAACCTGGGCAAGGGGGGAGCGTTGTTTACAGGTGTTGATGTCAGCACGGGGGCAGGCAGTGTGTTTAATTGACAATGTTTGGCATCTCTGTTTCCCTAGTAAAATCACTTCTTTTTATGCTCCGAAGGATGTCACCACCATAGAAAGATTTGATCACTGTGGAAAGATTTTGCAGAATGTGTTTTTGTTGGCAGCACACACTCCCATGACTTCCAGACTCTGGACTCTATTCAGTAATCCAGATGACTGACAATTGAGTTAGTTGCTTTTTACTTTGTGGGGCAGATAAATGTTTGCCATAATTGTACTTTGAACTTGCAGTACAAAGTTGCTGATGTCCAAGCATGTTCCACGTAGAACATCAGTCCCAGGTTGGGAAGGAATAGCATTGCATCCATTTTACAATGTGGAAAATTATTATAATGGCTACTGCATGAGTATTTTTAGTAAGGCTTGGAGCAGAACCAAGTCCTTTTCAGTCCCCATCCTCTATCCATTAAACCACATTGCCTCTGGATAGTCATCTATGTTAGTCAGGGAGACTGCATTTTAGAAGCTGCAGCCTTTCTGATCAGTATGTTGTGTCTCCCACCTGACAATGGCCAGGGGTTGATCTTATCACTGCAAAGCAACAGTGTAATTTGTGTTTGTTTTGTGCTAGTTGTCTCCCCAGACACAGAGATATGGTTCCTGGACAGAGCTCTGTATTGGCATTTCCTCACCAAAACCTTCACAGCCTACTACCGCCTGCTCATTACCCACCTGGGTCTCCCACAGTGGCAGTACGCCTTCACCAGCTATGGGGTCAGCCCCCAGGCCAAGGTAGGACAGCAGGATCCAGCTTGTCGGTATTTCACATAAGTATAGACTGGAAAAACATCTTCCCACCTTTTGACAAGCAATCTGTAGGCTCAAGTGGGCCTCCCTGGTGAGCCATGGAAGGGGGCGTGAGTCTTTCCCCTACAGCATGTTAAAAGTCATTTGTTTATGTTAGTGAATTCACTAACATTGTGTTAACTCTGCTTTTCTCACCCAAGTTGGGCTCTACCTTTGACCTCTAATAGCAGGTGGTAGAACCCCAATTATTTCTTTACTTTCTTGACTCTGAACCAGCCTCCACTTCCATAACTGCTGGAAAGTGAGGAGGTGTAAAGCCACCTCTCTAGATCAGTTTTCTGGGCATAGCACTGAACAAGAGCCTACTGCTCTCTGGGTGGAAAGTCCAGGTACACATTAAACAGAAGCCCAGAGGAAGACTATGAGCTTGAGCCTTGACAAGACTATTAATTCCTTTGCATCCTTCTCGGTCATGAAGGCATGCCTTGATAAATATGATGCCCCAAAAGGGGCAATTTAAATAGCAGCAGTCCTAGCAGTAGTAGTAGGAGAGCTCTAGGTACAGCCTCATGACCATTCTAGCCCCTTATTATTAAAATTGCTATTCTGATCTGCCAGAACCCTGCTATTAGAGACTCCTGCCATTCCTCTGTGCTTGACTGGGCCTTCAGCCCTAATCGTGCTTCCACTTTGTGAGAGGTTGAGGAATGGATCCGACAATACTACTGAACACAGCACATAAGCCTTTGCAATGTCTGTGCATGTTGGCAAGGCCTGGCAGGTCTCAGTGAGTGTCTTGCACTTCACACAGACATGGCAGCTGTCTTACCAGCATGACAGTCCTTGGTCCTGCCTCAACCCTCTGCGTACATCAGAACTACTCACTAAAATCACTGCCGACTTCCCATTTATCAATGGCCATAGAATTTGGCTCTTTGTATTTCTGGTGTCTTCCCTGTTACACTGTGCTCTACCTTATCAGTCAGGGCTGTGCTCATGGTTCTCTAAGATGTGCCTGTGCTCTGCCTTTCTGTAACTTTCCTGATAGAATATTTTATTATGTTCAGTATATTCACAAACCTTAGTGAAATCATTCATGTATTCCCTAATCATTTGCAGCCTCTGTTAGTTAAAATCCTCCTAGTATGTTAACCATTATCATTTTTAGAGGTCTTCTATATTAAAGCTGTTTTCCATTAAGCAGTACATGAATAGATTGCCATCTACATTTTGGTATTGATCTTTTATCTTGTTCAACACTTTGCTGATGGTTTCAGTGGGATTTCTAATACCATAACCCCCACAGTTTTATTTCCTGACTTCATCAATGGAAAACTGATAGAAAAAACACTAAGAGATGAGAACTGCTGGGCATAACATTATGGTGGCATCCGGGAACCAAAAAAAATCGTGGTCACTTCTAGATGTAAAACCAGGCTGAAGAGAAACAAAAACAAAGAGTTAAAAAAACCTGCATTATTGTATGTGTGAAGGGAGGGAGGCTATATTTTGAGAAGTTCAACTAGTTTGGTTCCAATTTATAAGCACTTTTAAATTCCAAGGTTTTTTAATCTTTTCTGCTTCTCTGAATCTAAATAAAAGTGGTTTAGTTTCATCCCCTCCCTTTGCTTTTCCTCCTGTGGTTTAAATCAGGAGTTGCTCCTGATAGGAGTTACACTGCAGGAAAGGTAGTGTTAGGTTTGTGCCTGGTTCTCCTCTTCCCTGCCTGGAATGTGGGGCAGTTCCAGGGCTGTAGCTGTAGCTGTGTCTTGTGTATCCTTATCACAAGGCACTCTGCACAGTCCTGTAAGCTGCAAACTGATAAGTGGTGTATGATTAAAATCAGTTCTCAGGGGTGAGGGGGAACAGGGTGGAAATGTCTAATTGCAGTTTGATTTTAACCTCTTCCTTCCCCATCCTGCCTTTCAGCAATGGTTTAACATGTATAAACCCATAACCATCAACACAGCTCTCCTCTCTGAAGAAGCTGATTCCTTTGTGAACAAGCTGGACCCCAATAAGGTATTTAAAAGCAAGAACAAAACGCCAGTGATCAAAAAGAAACCACTTTCCCAGGCAGCAGGCTCCCAAAAGAGCCACACAAGCATGACCTTCTCCAAGACATCCTTACCAGCTGGGAATTCTTCAAGGAAGTGAGACCCCCAGGTCTGACCCTAGACAACATCTGCAATAAGCTTTGATGTTCCCTGATGCAGAGTCTCAGTGGTTCAGATGAAGTTCCTTGTGCATGAATAGATGTGCCCATGGAAAACACATGGTAGCATTTGCATGAAATACTGCCGCAATGTACTTTGACATGGGAGGGAAATAGTTCCTGGAGACTACGAAAAAAACTTGAGACATTGATTTTATTCCCTTCTGCTTGCAGCATGTACTTTTCAGAGGGCATGAAGAAGCCCTTGATGTCACTGCGCCATAGGAAAGCTTTTGTTCCTGTGCAACTACAGCAGTGAAATGAAAGCCAATGTAAGTCACTGTTACTTTAATAGACCCATGCTGAAATAGAGTGTATGAAGCTGTTTCTGCCATCTCCTTTGAAAGAAACCTGTCCTGACCTTGCATGCTATGGAAGCAGGCTGGAACCCACTGAAAAAAGAAGTATCTTTCTGCTTCAGACATAATCAAACTCCGCACTTCCCTGTGTGCTCCTTCCAACTTCTTCTCTGACATTCGTGGTACAAAGGGACCTGGGCCTTCCATGTCTCTGCATTGGCCTAGTCACTTGCTCTGCAGCCCAGACTACTCCTTGGCTTTTGTGCCATATCTTTTTGGATAGTGACGTCTGTGTGATGTCCTTCCCAATAAGCCTGAAGGCAGGCATAAGCTGCAAGATCCCTCATTGCCTCTGCTTTCTCGTCTTGTGTGAACTGCTGAGCCAGGGCGGGTCAGTGGTGGTAAAAGTCCCGTAAGCCAGGAGGACCCCTTGGTTTGTCACATAGTCGTTTGCAAAGTTGACCATTCAAACAGCCTTTATCACTTTTCAATTGGGCAGGATCTGACCAGGGGCCACTGAGATCCTACAACCTTAGAAGCCCCTGATGCTGTTTTCTGTACTGTAAGTTTTCAGGTTAGAACTGCACTTTAACCCATTCACTGCTAGTTTTCTGTTACATCTGATTGTTTCCATTACTTTTCTATGCCATTCTATCTTCTTAGATGTGCTGGAAATACATGGTAGCAACCAACACATTTTGTGCCTAAGCAGGGAAGTCAAAGTCACCATCTTCAAAGAAGCATTAATTATTTAAACAGCATCATCTTTTCTTTATGAAACAGTCACATAATTACATAAGACAAACCTACCTCACAGGGATGTTGTGAGGCTTTCACAAGTATTTGTATGGCTTTCAGAAAGACAAAGCCACCCTGTAAGTGCTTAATAGTATTTTAATAAAGTATTTAATATTAATAAAGATTTTAATATTTTCCTCCAGAGTGATTGAAGATGCTTTTGGGAGCACATGCACAAGGATGTATGGTAAGAGCAGGGTGCAGGCTGGATTGTTTGGGGTTTTTTTTAATGCAGTGGAGAATCTGTCACTGAGCAGGGATGGATTATGGTGTCTTTTAGCTAATCCCATCTTGAGCTACTCTGAAGTTCCCAGTTTAGTTCACATAGACCAAAAGACTCAGCTGTGTGACAGCTGTTCCACTTCTGTCCTGTGCTCTCTGTTCAAAATCTCTGCAGCCATCAGCCCCAGCTCCGGCACGCTTTGCTGGCTTCCAGCACTGCCCAGGGACCACTCTCAAGTGCAGTTGCTGCATTGCTTGGCAGCTGCCCTCTGCCACCGCCAAATGAGGGAAATCCTCTAATGCTCTTCAGCCCTCTTAAGCCAATATGCGTCTTGTGCCAGGTGAAGATGTGCTGTCGCTGCTCTACTAACATGAGGTCAGCTCTAATGAGGAAGCAGAGATGTCAGTACCTTCCACCTCACCCCATGCCACAGTAATACATTAGGAATCCTTTTCATAGTGAGATGTGAATGATCATTAAAGCCAGTAAATGCCATTTTCTGGAATTCTGTGCAGTAGCAATGTTCTGTCACTTCCTACTCTTGGAGATCCCTGGGTTGTGTGTTCACAGTACCCACCCTTGGACTGCAGTCACGTGCTTGGCATACGTACACACTTGCTTAAGCACTTTCTAGTTGTAACCCCCTGGGAACAGGCAGCTTCTGGTACTGTTTTACTTTTAATCCAATGATACCTCAAACTTGTAAGGCTGTTGCAGGCCCAATTGCTTATTAAGATGGAGGTGGCAGAATTCCTACAGGAGCAGGGTACTTTCCCACACTTCTCATGCATTCAGAGTGGAGAAAAGGGTTGGGTTTTGGTTTTGGTATTTTTTGTTTAACTATGTGGGGATGCTGCCACAGAAGTTGTCTGAATCCTTTCATACGGTGATAGTAAAGTCTAGCCTGTCAGTAACACACATAGTTCCGTGACACTGACATGTTCCAGCAGAACTGTGCCAGGATTCAGGAGACGCTGTAGTTTAGTTTACTAATTTTTTGGTGCTTCCTGAATGTTCAGACCAAAAAGAAGAAAAACACAACAAAACCAAGCATGAAAAGCAAAATCAGATTCAGGTTTCTATTTCAGACTGTCCTTGCTCTTGTCTGTGCTCTGCCAAACTAGGTGTTTGCTAGCATGGCAGATTAGCAAATTGAAGCAAGCTTATGCCCCTGATCCATCAGCATAGTATCTACCTCTTACCAAAGAATATTCCAGATCAAAATTTCTTTAATTAACTAATTTGTTTCTGCCACTGTTGGATCCTGTATTTTGATTTCTATGAACATACAGGTATCTGGAGTCTTGCAGCTCTGCTTTGCTTTTCTCCAGTATGTGGCGATTATTTTTTTTGCAGATTTTTTACACAGGGAGATTGAATAATTTCTTTGGGTCACAGACAGGTCTAGCCCTACCCAGATCTGCCCAGTGTCTCAGAGACCCAGTTTACCGGGTTAAGCAGAGTAGGGTTGTAGGTTTATTGAGGACTAGTCCCTCATTTACCACCTGCAGGCTGGAGAAACAGTGTGCTACAGCAGCACCATTGCACATGCCCTTATCCACTTGTTTCCCTTCAGCTGTCAGTCCATACATCCCTATAGGCTTTGCTGTCAAGCCCTTTCCTTGGAGCATATGGCCATCACAGCGTAGAAGTCTCCACCACTGGCTGTCCTTTCTCATTTCCACTTTCCAGGACAGGTTGGTTGTGAAAATCAATGAAGAGTTTGTAGATTAAAGCACCAGCAAGACTTCCCAGAATCGGAGCTGTAAGTGGGACCCACCACCAGTGATGTCCAGCCCTAAAAATGAAAGACAGAAGAGGCAGCTGGTGAGCCAGGCTGGAACCACCACCCTGCTGCCACATGGCATGGGGAGGGCTGAGATGAGTCTGCTGGGGCAGGAGGGAGCTGTGTGAGCAGAGGTGTCTAGTCCCACTTCACATACTGGGCCCTACGACTGGCTTAGAGAAATTCTCTATCTACCAGCACAGTTGTTGGAAGGAGGGTCTTTTTCCGCATTGGCCTGGGAAAGTGGTTCTGCACTGTCTGCAGGTTTCTTGTTCACCATCAGAAATAGTCTGTGTGATCCTGTGAGTGTGACTGTCAGACACACACATACACACACACCCCACACCTTTTCCCTCCCCATTTCCAATAACAACTGTACCTCCTCTACCAAGCTCTGAAAGATACTTTCTGGAAATTTAATGAAAATGGACAGCTGGGACAGGAGACTCTGCTAATGCCCTCACAACAGGAAAAGCCATAGCATGGCACCATCTTGATAGATAGGGGAAGGTAGGGTTTCATCTCCAGATTCAGCATCTAAATTTAGGAGTGATATTCAGCAATCTAGCCGTAAGTACCTGCTTTCAGGGGAGCTGAATTGCTCTCGCTCTCCACTCACTGCAGTAACCAGATAGACCTCTAGCTAACAGGTAGCCAATTTGGTGCCCAAATTGAGGTATCCGAATGTCAAGATGAATCCCATGCTGGAGAATTAGTGTACCCCAGATTTTGTGTACGTAATGCACAGGGCTCCTCTATGCACAACCCTTGCTCTCTGAGAATGGAGAACTCACTTTGCAGCGATACCATCACTTAATCCAAAGAAAAAGGCTTCATGACCATTTTATCTTGGGCTTATCTCCTCTCCTTGCGAGCTGAGCAGTATAAAAACAAAACAGGTCACTCACGTGAAGACTTCCATTCCCCAGCCAGCGATTGCCGTGAAGACCCTGGGGGGCAGGTCCCTAGAGGGGTTTATGGCATAGCCTGTGTTCATCCCCATCCCTAGGCCGATGCCCAGGACCAGGATACCCGTGAGCAGGGCCTGCGTGCCTTTCAGGGCTCCATTGTTTTTCTCATCATGGATGATCTGAATGCCCAGGAACAGCATCACTGTCGCCATGAACTGCAGGAGGAAGAAAGGGGGAACAGGTCAGGAGAGAGAATGGGGAAGGCAGAAGGATCATGCCCAGCAGAGAGGAAGAGACTTCCCAGAATGGAAGAGCAGGTGGGATTCATGATCTGATCGAGTCAGAGAGGACCCCAATGTTATTCCCTCCTCACAGATGGACTGAAGAAAAGTCTTGACTCATTTCCCAGAAAAAATATCTCCACTCCATCACCAAAAATGCTCTAGGACTGATAGGAGCTTCTCAGCACTGTCTTCTCCCTCCACCTTTCAAGTTAGGGGCATGGGCTAGTTTAAGTACAGTTCATCTAACAGAGGCAGAGCCATAACAAACTGCTAACAAGGCAAATCTGATCCTCTCTAGAGGAAGTAATGTTTTATATAGCCTGTTACATTAGCTCTTTCAGGACTAAAAGCAGATCCCAGATTCTCATCTGGAAAACCGAACCTCCCATATGTAGCTGGCATTTGTAGATCTGCAGTACCCAAGATGTCAGGAACTGTGGTTTCAATAGAGATGATGACTCCTGTCTCTGCTTCAGAAAATGCAGCTGGAGAGCCTTGGACTGCTTGCAGAGATGCCAGCAAAATCAGAAAGTCTGCAGCATTGTCACTGTCACTTTCTTGTGCGGAAAGGACACTGCATGCTCCACAGGAGGCTGATCAGGTCTCCACCTGAAGGCTCTCCAGCTCTCACCATTCTCCTCATCATGCTCACCATCAAGCCAGAGTTTTGTCAGCTCAGAGACAAAAGCACAGGCTTCCTTAGATTTTTAATTGGAAGATAATGTTTGTTCTCCAGTGTCCCAGTGGTTC